TAAATTCTGCATCCATTTATTTGCTTAAGAATTTCCATGATATTACATTCGTTAAAAAGAATAAATACAATACAACTGATTAATACTACTCTAGTTCTCCTTTTTCTCCTGTAGTGAAAGAATATTGAGACTTCAAATGTGTAACGATAAAAGGAAAAATACGTTATAAGTTGTACATTGCTGTTCATTTTTCCTCAAATCAGATCCAAAATGAGGATAACAATACCTTGTGTCAGGCACCAGCAAGGCTGCTAATATCCAATCAAGAGTATGACAAGTGAAAGTGCTTGACCACTGTTTTCACACGAAGACAAATGCATTTCTGAAAGTTTTTACATTTTAATTTACAAAAAGGGAAAAATCAAAACAAAAACAAGTCACAGGCCAGGTACAACAGCATCAGATGGCACAGGTTGATTTTCACATGATTGTGACAAGGAAGGATAGATTGCTCACCAAACTGTGTACACAGTGGCTTCAAACCAGTTCCTGGAGTTGAAGTCACAGTTCTTCGTATTTCAGACTGGTCCACGCATATGCACTGATGTATAGACTTTCCTAATGTATTAATTGTGACAACTGGGATTTTCAAAGCCGTTCAAAACATGTGGATGACCTTTCCTCATTGAGTTCCTAATTAGAATGGGTACCTAATTCTCTAGATAACTGGAAATCTTATCCCAATTTTTAAGTTATTCCTAAACATTCTCATGATGTTGTAAGTGTCCTCTACAAGCACTAGTTCATTTAATTAAACAGTTGCTGTGACTGGGACTAATGGTTTCTCCAAAATAACACCCAATGTTTGCATCAGAGCCAGAGACTGCACATCTCACCGTCCCATGACTGAGCCACAGAATATTTTCGCTTCTAGGAACTGATGATGCATCTTACTTTGGGGTTTCGTTCCTCCTCAATGCTAGCAGAGATATAAAGTGATATACGCAATAACCCAAAGACAGAAAAAAAGCAAACTTCTTATGTTTGAGGTCTCCAAATGGAGAAAAAGCAAGGGTAAGAAAGCAGGGATGTGATGCAATGCTAGAAAGGGAGTAATATATGTGTCGTACTGGGGCTGGTTCTCTTTATCTCTTTATCAATGATCTGGACGAGGGGATCGAGTGCACCCTCAAAGTTCGCGGACAACACCAAGCTGGGTGTCGACCTGCTGGAGGGTAGAGAGGCTCTGCAGAGGGATCTGGACAGGCTGGATGGATGGGCTGAGACCAATGGGATGAGTTTCAATAAGGCCAAGTGCCGGGTCCTGCACTTGGGTCACACCAACCCCATGCAGCACTACAGGCTGGGGGCAGAGTGGCTGGAGAGCTGCCTGGCTGAAAAGGACCTGGGGGTGTTGGTCGACTGTCAGCTGAACACGAGCCAGCAGTGTGCCCAGGTGGCCAAGAAGGCCAACAGCATCCTGGCTTGTATCAGGACTCGAGAGGTGATCGTTCCCCTGTGCTTGGCACTTGTGAGGCCTCACAGAATCACAGAATCTTGGTGGTTGGAAGGGACCTCTGAGATCATCGAGTCCAACCACACAGCCAAAAATAAAAAAAAAAGAAAAAAAAAAAAAACAAACACCACACCACACAATACCCACCAACCAAGCCCCATACCAACAGCACGACATACAACACCCCAGCAAACCCCAATAATCTCAGGCACTAGAGCATGCCCTGAAGAGCCATGTCTACACGTTTCTTAAATACGTGACTCCACCACCTCCCTGGGCAGGCTGTTCCAGTGCCTGACCACTCTCTCAGTAAAGTAATTCTTCCTAATATCTAATCTAAACCTCCCCTGCTGCAACTTGAGACCATTTCCTCTGGTCCGGTCATTACTCCCCTGGGAGAAGAGGCCAACCCCCACCTCTCTGCAACCTCCTTTCAGGTAGTTGTAGAGGGCAATGAGGTCTCACCTTGAGTACTGTCTCCAGTTTTGGGCCTCTTACCACAAAAAAGACATTGAGGTGCTGGAATGGGTCCAGAGAAGGGCAACGAAGCTGGTGAGGGGTCTGGAGCACAAGTCTTATGAGGAGAGGCTGAGGGAGCTGGGGTTGTTCAGTCTAGAGAAAAGGAGACTGAGGGGAGACCTTATCACTCTTTACAACTACCTGAAAAGAGGTTGTAGAGAAGTGGGGGTCGGTCTCTTCTCCCAAGTCACAGGCGACAGGACAAGAGGAAATGGCCTCAAGTTGCTCCTGGGGAGGTCTAGGTTGGATATTAGGAAAAATTTTTACACTGAAAGGGTTATCAGGCATTGGAATGGGCTGCCCAGGGAAGCGGTTGAGCACCTCCCCAGAGGTGTTCAAAAGACGGGTTGACATGGTGCTGGGGGACATGGTTTAGTGATGGGTTGTTTTTTTCAGAGTTAGGTTGATGGTTGGACTAGATGATCTTGAAGGTTCTTTCCAATCTAGATGATTCTATGATTCTATGATTCAAGCACGATGTATGCTTATTAGGAAGAGATGCATCCAGACTTCCACACTGAATCAGGCAACTTGCCTCATTTTTTCTAACTGTTTTTTTAATTTTGTTTAGTAAATACTGCATAATACCAGAAGCCATATGGGCCCAAGACGGATCTCTTTCTTCTATGACATGTTTTGCAAGATCTTGGAAAAACAAGATCTTGGATTAAACAGGTGTAACACATGCAGTAAGATCACATAAGTTATGGGTCAGAAAGGGATCAGAGCTGCCTTAACATCTGTTTCTCCAGTTATGGGAAACAATATAGAGAAGTTGAAGCAGCCCCATACACATAAAAGCTTTTACTACAGCTGTATATCTAGGTTCCTCAGCCGGAGCAGTCACGGATAACATTACTAGATCTACAGACCCAAGCCTCAGCCACACTCCATGATGAGCTGTCAGGTTACAAGACAAGTTTTCATACTAGTGCCAGATTGCAGAGAAATCAGCAATGGACATACCTAAGTATAAACGTATGACACAGTAGACATAAATGTAACTTTAAGTATTTTTATTTTATTTGTAATCAAAGGGCTGCACAGATCATTTGGTGCCAGGTGGTGCCTGTAATATCAGAACATCAGCCTTATTAATTCACTACATACCTATGTTATGTCTCTTAACACACATGAGCAAATTAATCAGCAAATATGAATTTTAATAATTCCTTAATAATATTTTCTTAATAAAGAATAGGCTTGTATGTGAAATGCATGAGAAAGCATGGCACAGACTGCTTCCTATGGATACCTAAAACTTAAGACATGCCATGGGGATTTCTAGAGCCAGATGAATTAATGAAATGCAGATCAGAAACTACATAATCAGAATGATGAGTTAATGAGTCTTCATTGCTTTAGGATAAACAGAAAATTTCAAATGTAAAATAACAGGAAGACATGGTCAGAGGAAGATGAGCCAGGAAAATGTCCGTGTAGTCAAATATGCTATAACTTCAACAAAAACCCACATAATTCCTAGTCTGTTTCATAGTAAAAGCCAAGAATCACTTTTGTATTGAAAGAACTATAAAATAAAGTCACTTTGTGCGGACCATATTGCTTGAGATCAGCAAATAGGCTTAAGCATTAATGGGAGAGCTGTGCCTTTAAGCTAGATAATAAGAGAAGTGCAATACTATCTTCCAGTGAAGACATATATTGAAAGACACTGTATAGAAAAATAAGCCAAATTCGGTTCACATTTAGACACAGAATACAAAACCAGTAACTATCACAACTATTTCATAGATTAGTATAATTTAATTTCCAAGTGGTAAATATAAGTGTGCCACCTGCATTGAAACTACAAGTCTGCTTAGATATGAAATAATTTCAAAAGGTCACTGCTGCAAATACCACAGAAATGTACATTGTGAGTTTAACAAACTACAGTAGTAAAGTTCTCAAATGTCTCATAGTCTAGATTTCCTGAAAACCAGAATTCTGTCATTTACCTGTCCTCGTGATTTTATGCCCCTCATCAACGCAGTAGCTTCACAAATTAATGATTAAGATTTTGCGAGCACTCATGGGGTCCAATTCAAAGCTGCTGCTCTAAGTCAATGCCATACAATCAGCATCTAAGCCTAAAAATAAGTAATTTTTCTCATTTAATAAAAGGAATACCTAGCTGTCTATGGCATAACAAATGGTTTATGATAGATTATCAGCAACTGCAGGTCATCTCAAAGTGGTGAAATACAAGCACTGCATCCAGTCATTTCGCTTCATATGCGTCCCTTTGGAAAGGATTACTTCTTTATTTCAGTGCCAGAATTTGAAAGTGTGGCCTCCACTTGCTAGAAGACATCAGTACTACAGCTTTCTGAAACCAATGAGCTCAGCTTTTCAAGTGAAAATGGCTGCAAAACACTATTTCCTATAGTACTCGGAAATAGTCTCCTGGGAAAAAAAGGATTCATTGACACTTCTTAAGACAGTGCTGTATTGATGTACTGCTCTTACAGAAATACCATGACAAGTTTAAAAGAATTGCAGCTCATTGTTTCTTACATACAGTCTGGAAAAGACAACATTCTTTCATTTGTCTCTGGTATCATTGTGGTGATGTGCTTTAATTTATTTCCTTTGTACAGTCAGTTTGTAATCTGACATATTTTCATAAGAAATTACTATAAAGACCTATAAACATGTGTCTCCAAAACAGCTCCCTAGACTAAATTTGACAAACGCATTGCAGATTTTAAGTGTATTCTAATTCTCATTGGCTTAAATGTCATGAAATTGGTACCCAGGTAAGTGTCTTATTCAGCATAACAAACAGGCCAAGATTTTCTAAAGCAGTTAAAACACATTAAAAGACCATGAAGAAAATATCCCTAAAGCCCTGTTGGAGCTACATTAATGCCAGATGAGAGATTTACCTGGAAAAGCAAAATTAAAAAGTGGACTTACGGTATCAAAAAATTATTTATTACGTGTTTTGCCATCATCTGGACTTTCCACTTTGGGGACACAATTCAGAAGTTTTAAGAAATGAAATTTTACAAAGTCTTACCTTGCTATCTGTGTTCTAGTATTGAAGTCAAGAGATCTCATTGAACGTAAGACTTCTATACACCCCAAGTACTGTAAGGAAAAATAAACAGTTGGAAAATATAAAATTATTCTTGAGTTCTGGGAGGAAATGCAGTGAATCATAAAAAGGCATTTACAATTCTTATTTTTACATTTTATTTATCCTATGTGTCAGGTAGGTTTTAATGACTATGTTCTTGAATGCTCCATAAACATTTTATTTCATTTAAGTCTCAAGTGTGGTTCAACATATAACTTTAATCTAATCACTGTACTGTGCCTAGTTCATAATGTGTTGAAGTGCTTTTTAATTTTCTTCTATCTTAATTCTTCTATTTTAGATCTAAAGCTAACTAAAGTAAAAAGTAATATTAATGAAAAAAGAAGTGTAGTAAAGCAGATTCATCTAGTACTGGTTAGTAGGAAAATCTGATTTAAGAGGGAGAGAACTAAGTATCATTAGTACAAAAAAAAGATAAAATATAGTAGGGAAAGCTAAAAAGAGCACCAGTGATCCAAATTGGATCCCTTAATAACCAGCTTGGGGATAGATGAGATTTAATATTTTCCCTAATGACACTAGTACAAAGGTACAGGAAAATGCTAACAAAATATACTAATAATCCATGCTGGGAGATGGCTTTAGGGTCATTCAAGAGAGGAATGACATGAAGGCTAGCTAATATTAGGAAAAGACCAGTGACCCAGATTTCTGCCGTGCATGTCTATGAAAAAGAAGGAGTACCATTAGAAAATATGTTAAAATATAACATTATCTGTCACAGGAATGAGACAAAGTCAGGTGAATCTTCTAGACTTGCTTCCAAAAGCGAGCATAATTTGCATGTGCTAAAGCCTACGTGCAGCTGCAGCTCTTGTCAGACATTTGGATAGTGGCTTTGTACAAACCAGCTCATGACTAACATATCCCATGGCAGTATCTTCGCACATAGGTCAAGTACTCAGTCACACATCTGACATTTGAAAGTCAGGGTAAGCAGGGATGAGACTTTACATAGTAAGCCTGATAATGTTATTCTACTATTGTGTCTTATATCAGCTTTTATATCGGTTTTTGTACCTATTCACAGTGTAACGCAATCTATTTGGGTATGAAACTGGTGCAAAAAATCAAGTGAGGCCACCATTTTGTGCCTGTTTGGGAATTTTATTTATACTGAAAAAATTATCTCTAAATTAGAGAACTACTACATCAGTAACTATACTATCTAGAATTTCAGCAATGCTTTTTCTATAGAAACATGTATGTCACAAACTGTTTACAAGTCAAAGGAGTATCTAGTTTGTTTTCATGTGTCCATTATTATTTAATTTATTGCTAGCAAAAGTTATGAAGTCATTACAACCCTGGATAAAATAAACTAGAATATTAAGTGACTCTTATTGACTAAATAATAATCAAACTTGGATTATGATAGTCCACAGTTTCTGGGAAGGGTTGTTTCAAGATCCGTTTCCTTGAATTTTTTAGAATTCTCCTGCAATCTCATCTTACATTTTTGACAAACTTGGAAAATCCTCAAGGAAAATTCCTTGTCTATAAGATATCCTGGCACATGGAGCTTTCGAACTAAGGGTCATACTCTCAAGCTGTTTAGATTATCATCACTCCTCTATCAGTGCAGAATTAGGTAACCCTTGTATCTTATTACAAGGAGATTCCTTTTTTATGTATACTTCTGCCTGAGTACTTAAAGCATGCAGAACATTTTCCTGGTCTCATGCATGAAGTTAAGCCATTAACTCTATTTTTAAGTATCTCAGAGGGTGATTTGATTTGCTTGGAGATGAAGTTTGTTAAACGTCAATTGAGATAATTAGTTAAACTCGGTTAACTTATGACAACATACAGCAATGAAAGATGTTTTCCTGTACTCTTTTTGTGTCATTTTGCTTTAGTTCTAGTTACAGATAAATTTTCCCAAATACTTATTTCTTATGAGATACTTTTATAACTAAATATGCTGTAAATCATATAACTATTCAAAGGTATCCCAGTGACTAGTGAGATACTTTGTTTTTATTATTTCATCAACCTGTTTACTTAGATCACTCTATACTAAACCACTATTGGATTGCACTTGTTGTTTCACTATTACCTATTTGCCACAAGTCTTTTAAAGCAAAGTAATTGTACAATTTTGAGAACCAGGTCCAACATTTTAGAAGTAAACTCTAGAAGGCAGTTTGACAAATACGTGCAGGCATGCAAGTAAATACGCAAACACGTGCACACAAGTCACTGTCAAAATAAAATAAAAATAGACAAATACCCATAAACATTCTTAGAAAGCATGCATTTAGAGTCCTATACTACCTTATCTGCATTAACAAAAGCAGAGACAAAACCAGACTGAAGGAAGGTCAGATGGAAAAATTACCCCGTGTTTGTTTTATGTATAGCATGTATATGCATGGAGACAACTAACACAACATAGTAAGGCTTGCAGTATTCCTGACTGATCAAGGCAAAGATGGCAACTGGTTTTCTGGGATAAAAGATGTGAACACTTAATCACCATGGCATGTTTTCAAGTAACAAAATTACTATAAAAACTGACATTCAAAAGGTCCAAAGGCCAACTACAGGTACATGTAACTCACCTACTGCTATGCTTCAATTATTCCCCAAGACCAACATTGCTCTCTAACAATATCCATTGTTGTACATCCTGACAACGATCCACAGAAAGGAGACATACAACCAAGATAGCAAGTAAAAAAATTATTCATTTATTTCAACAAATAAATATCCTGATTAAAAATAAATGCTATCTTTTGCTTTAGGCATTCCATGATACATTTGAAATACCATTATAAAACAGCCTACTACTAAATAAGCTCCTTGTCCCCCAGCACTTAATGTATATTCCAACCAATCAGCTACTGTGCACTGTGGCATTTGTAAGTTCCCACTAGCATGCTCCCTCTCACTGCTTGGGAAACAAATACACGGCAATGCCCCCTACCTTGAAGCAGGAAGATTTGCAACTACCAGTTCCAAGCTCTTTCATATAACATTCTACCTCTGTCTACTTTTTGATGTTTGAGTGAATTTCCAGCTTATACACCTTCATTGAATGGTACTATATCCTGCAGAAAAAGTCTTTTATAAGAATTAATACCTTCCCATTCAGTGGCTTTAGACTCATAACTAGTACTTTGCATGCTGAACAGCACCTTGCAGGAAGCTAATGTAAATCAAAAAGCAGAGTGCCACATATTCCTGGGACCATAGGTCTCTCATTGCATGAAGTTCCAACATCCTTACTAGTCCAAATTTTTCCAGGTAAGTGTAAAAGAAGGCCACATACACCAGGTTTTCAGTTTGTCCCATAAGTTAAGTTTTTTTCAATATTCCCTAAAGTACCCCTGTCTTCTCTATGACTCAGCCAGAAAATTCTTGTTTAACAACTAAAATTTTTTACTGTACCCTGTGTTAGAAAGAGCACTGAGTTCTCTCAGCATTTTTCAGGAACAGACACTTCAACACATGACTGTTGGATGCATTCATGAGCTTGGAGCGAAGAGAAAAGGCAAATGAGGGTAGTCACTGTCAGAGATGCCTTTTGCCCCATGAATATGAACAATCTTATTCAGTGTTTCCTAACAAGCTCATTCAAAACAGCATATTACTGGAAGAAATACTCTATTGTTCAACTCAGAAGCTAGTAGTAACAACATCAACAGAAATTTTTATTACAATTTTATTTTTATAAAAACACAGCAAGCAACACAGCACTACAGCAGTCCAACTTAGGAGTGATAAATGCTTGAATGCTTGAACACTTGAATGGCATATACATGTCTAATAGGAGGTGAGTATCTGCCCACAATGTCAGTATCATGAAGATCCGCCCATCACCTACTCTCAAATGCAATAACGAATCTTAATCTCTGAGTCTGAACTACTGGAGTATCATTAGTTCACCAAAATGCATGTGTATTCTTAGTACATTAAGATTGATTGGTTTTAATCTGTGTAACCAGAGAGCCATCATCAAATCTGAGTGGTTCACAACATTGTAGATTGTACCAGCAACACACAGAGCCTTGTGAAATTTATGTAAGAGATAACATCAGCAAACAGACATGCACTTGCGTTGTTAGCCAAAAATGAATTGATATATTTGAAATCTGCACTAACATTACATAGCCTGGAGGCTCAAAAAGTAGATTGAGATTCCCGAGGTTCTGGGTGGTGTATGTAGATCTATTTTTTGAAAACAGAAATCTCTGAAACATATTATAAAATACCTTGTAATAAGCCAGTCAATTCACTGTTTCTCACTCAGGCTTAGGCTGTGCTTTCATTTAGTAAGTATGCAAAAGTGAGGATCTTTTTACTTGCCACATCTCTTTCTCATGTGTATCTCAAGTCATATCCCTACATTTTCATTATTCCTTTTCCTTGGGAGGGGATTGGGGAGAGCAGGGAGTGTGTGTGTGGGTGTGTTTGTTTTTGTGAGGAGTTTTGTTTTGCATTTTATTCCTGTTAGTTAAAGAGCTAGTCATGACTTAAGGTATGCCATGAAAGTAAATGAGTAGTTAGTATTAATTCACTAGTGATAGTTAATTCCAGTTGAGGAGCTTTTGTTTCAAATTCAGACTATGTTGCTTCTATTGCAACATGCATTTATTTATGCATCAAAATGTCAGTGCCTTCTAATTTAAGATATCACCATTAACAGCAAAAAGGGCTTGCACAATGAGCACTAAGAGTTCCACAATATTCCACAATGTGTTTCAAGTTTGCCATCTATCCTAAATCTTACTAAGATTCACCACCATAACTTTGGCTACTTTGACAGTGGGTTGGCCTATATGGCACCGGGCATGTTGACAGGAAGTGGAAGACACCTCTCTCAAAGGGGGAAGACTGATCCGGCCCAAGAGATTTCGGGGTTGATTGAAAGGTCTTTCAACTAGATGTGAAGGGGGAGGGGGGCAATAACATCAGGACCGTCTTTGAGGCTCCTGAGGCAAAAGGAATATGGGAATCACAGATAAAACACCACAAAGGAAGGCCA